ATACACATCTGATGTGTATAAGAGACAGATTATTAACTACTCAAAAGGTAGGGTACCCGTTTTATTATAATGGAACGACCGTTAAGCTATGGCGCTGTCTCTTATACACATCTAGATGTGTATAAGAACACAGTTTTAAAACATGATCGATTTAATAATAAGGTAGGATATAACAAAACAATAAAGTTCTAACATTGTTTATTTAGTAAATTGCAACATTGCTTACGTGTTGAAAGCTGGTAAACTATATTTCATTATTGTTTACGCATTGATTATCAGCCCGACGATCCAGCCTACGATCATTGCAAAGCTAATTGAAATAACAATGACCTTCGTAGTGGTTCGTAGCTACGTTCCAAACGGTACCTACGAGCAGGCTACGAGAGGTTACGCGCAGATACGAAGCGATATTTCCTGTCTGTACTGTAAGCCTAGACCTACTTTATTTTGTTGGCTAATAACATTTAACTTGTGAGGTAACAGTAAACAACAAATCTTCTTTACAGTATTTAATGAATAAATGTTGTTTTTATCAAACATAAATAGCTTTAGTTTAGTGTAACATTCGATAGATTTGAAGAAAAGAAATTGCTAAAGGTAGACCAGGCCCAATTAGGCTAGGCCAAGCTGAATAGGAGAAAGCCGTCCAAGAAATCATATTACAATAGAAGTGGCTGTCCTACAGGTAAATAATTGATTGTCTTTAGGACGGCCAGACGGCTCGCTGGCTAAACCTATGCTGTATAATGTTTGCAATATAGTGCACCACAACATTTTAACATAAATGAAATTTCTATTTAATAATCTTTGTAAACAATTTAATTCTTATTACGGTAATGGTACAGTGCAATGTCTCTAATGCACTCTTTACCCAGTGTCAAGACAAAAAAAAAGAGAAAACAACATAAAACAGGAACACTCTACTGTACGTTGGTTTAACGATACATAGAGTAGTTGACATCCCTTTTTGTCATGTCCCGGATTTGATCCATGGGCTGAAATACATGATCCTATAAGAAAGTAAACATGTCTGTCACTTCCATGATTGATATAAAGTATATACAGTAGTCTCTCAGTAATCATGGGAAGGAACCAAGTTTACATGCGAAATGTTGGTGTATTTTTACTTTAAACTTCATGAAATAGGAAGATCACACCAAAGTCCATAAAAAAGGTCTTAACAGACATTACAAAGTTCTAATACAGAAAGTTCCAAGCTACAATAAACTATACATTACTGTACAGAAATTGAGGTATTTTTAAGAATGTGTAATTGATTTTCATTTTTTTAAACTTTGGCAGGATCCCATTGGAAATACATTATTTGACTTTATACTTATGAATATGATTTGAGTAGTTTTATTGTTTTTGTTTTCTTTAATTTAATATTTTTAAACAGTATTTTCTCTGCTTTAATATAGTATACTCTATATTTAGAATTAGCATGTCATATTGAAAAGCAATAGAGAATGTATAAAATATAACTGCTTGCTGAATCACTATTAATCAAAAGACAAAATTATTAAGAATCTAATCAAAATATCATTACAACATCTGAGTCACCAACTTAATCAATATATCATTAGCTTCAAGAGAAACAATATCCTGTAGGGGTTTCTTTATAATATATGCAAGCTGTAATAAAAAATCATGCAGAACCCAGCTGTTCCATGACATAAGCTGGTACTACATTAAGTAGAAAAAACAACTCTTTAGTAAACTGAGGTTGATTGAAGCTCTCTCCACACTATCACATTTTCTTCTGACAATAATCTTTTGTATACCCATACAGTATATTGTCATGATGTGCCTACAGTCATGACGTGCCTCTATGTGGTCATGATGTGATGTCATTATTTGTCACTGCCTAGGCCTATATGATCATGATGTCATCATGACCATATTTAGGCATATCATATGTTTTTGTCAAATAAAATTTTGATAATCTCGACAGGTCTTGCACTGTAATAAAGAAAAATATAAACACTTTAAAAAACTATTTTTCTTACCATGTAGTGTCTGAACAGGTGAATTTTGTTTTTTCCTCAGGTGATCTTTGAAGCATTTTGAACACATTCCTTCTGATGCAGCATTTCCATAGAAACCGCAGCCATTCCGACATAAATTCGAAGGGCTCATTTCTTTACTGCCGTTACCACTATCCATCATGAATGAGCCTTGGTAACCCTATAATGATTTATTGAAAAGATGTTATTTTTTTTTCTCAAAACACTTTTAGATAAGAGTGAAAAAGAAAACTAACAAATTCCATTTTGTAATAAAATCTTGATTAGAGAAGTGTAGAAGAATTGCCTTTGATCAACTAATGTGAAGCTACAGTCGACTGTCTGACAGGGTGTCCAACCCAAAGGGCCGCCTAAAAGCCTCAGTTCTAGATAGAAAATAAATCATTTTATATAATTTTTTAACATGTTTGCAATACATGACTTCCATTCTCACAACACTAATAATTTATTTGGTAATTTCTTTACTAAATATAATTTTCTACTATTGTACAGTACAGTTGGTGCATTTATTGTAGACAGAGTACAGAATTACAAATAATTGGCAACAAAATACATTAAACAATATTTTAAATACAGTTCATGTTTAAGATTTAAAAAGAACAAAGGCATATTATACAATAGAATACCTTGGCTTCCGGTGTACACTTTACAGAGGAACAAAGGCTTATTAAAGAAGGCATTTCTAATACATTTCTTTGTTGACCATTCAGTATATACTATTACCCATAAGATTTTGTTCCCTTTATCAACCTGGCAAAAATAAGGGGTTAATGATACCAAATTCAATTAAACAGTTATGTCAGTATAAAAAACATAGCCTTGGAAAATGTCTTCTATACTGTAACATTGACCTCATGGGGCTATATAGCTCAGTATACATGGAGCTATACAGTATCCACTGTATTTGCCAATTGGACTTCTACTAGGGCTACAGTATTATGAATAAGAATTGCATAATTTAGTATTAGAGCGACAATTTATATTACATAAATTTATTAAAATTATTATCCAACAGCTGAAGCCCACCACTTGCTACAGCAAGTGGAAATAAAATATCTAAAACTATACAATGGACTACCATTTGTTTTCATCACTGTCGCAAGAGTACAAAACATACATTTCAGAATGTGGTAGGGGTGGGAGGCGGTAAACGGTGTACAGTATACTCTTTTATTACAACAATTAAAATGATTTCAAAATCACAACAATCTTCTTTCAGGTAGTCTCTAATTTATTGACTGAAATGTTTGGTTAATTTCGAAGAGCGCCACCAGCATCTGTTTTTGTTATGTCGTTGAATTTAGATGGGAATTAATCAGAGAAAAAATATACTATGGGACACCATGCAAAAAAGTAATATGGAATGCCAATGGAGCCAAAATATAGTAATTTTCACTGATTAAGACAAAATCAGGGACTGGAATCCAGTCTATAACCACATTTACACTAGACACGATTACGACACAACAACGACAAGATACAGATGCGCGCAGTGTTGAAGAATACAAACTATGCGATATGTCGTTGTGTCATAATTGAGTCTACGGTAAATGTGGCTATCTTTCAGCGTAGGAAGGAGGGCTATGTACGTTATTGAAAATGAAAAAAATAACAGTTGTTATATTTTAGATATAATTTTAAAATTTAATGTATGCTGGTACTGTAGTCAGGAAGCTACGGTGACAGTAACACCAGCACAAAACCCAATTAACTATTTTGAAACACATGTTTCTACTCAAGGACAAATGAAAGTTCTGAACAGCAGTTCAATGCTTTATTTCATGTTTCTCACCAGATGTTTGCCCATTAGATAATACTGTTTTGTTAGAAGAAAAAAAGGACAATTCTTTCCTTGGTTTGACTAGGAAAACCACTTTACATACGGTTCTAAATAAACCACACAGTATATTCAATCTTGCTCAATAATTACAGTATAGAATAGAAAAGATTTATACAGCTGTTGGTATATCTGCGATTTAATAAATATTCAAACATTAGTCATTGGAATGTACAACTTAGGTAATCCCATTTGGTCATGTGATCTTGTCATAAGATCACGGTGAATATATGTTGCATATTTAATCTCGATGACGTCAGAAACCTGATCAAATTTTGCCCCTTTGGGAAAAATGGTGAATTTTTATAATTCATTCTGGGATCATGTTGACCACATCTTGTGAATAAATATATTTTTGTTTCTTAAAGCTTAAAAAATTATTAACTGAGGAATAGAAGTTGAATTGCCTATTTAGATTTGTTTTTACATTAAAAATGTAATACTGTACCAGTACTAGTAGTGGAACAGGATACTGTACTTACTGTACACTATATCAACATAGTATTATTAAAATATTTATAAATAATACCATTATTCACAATTTCAAATACTTACTTCAACCAGATCCTTAATTTGTTTTTGACAACTGATTACATATTATTATTATTAGGTACAGTATTATTTAATAATCTTAAAAGCAATTAAGTGTTAAGACTAGCACCATGTTGTGTTGTTACATGCAGAATAAAAACAAGAACATATAGTAAACCATAAAACTAGGTGGTGGTCTGTCATGTGATGTTTAGTTTGTGTTAACATGATACAGTATGATAAAGATATCCCTTACATACAGCAGAAACACAGCTAAATTATTTTTATATTCTTTCTAGTGAATAGTACAATACTATTAAGTCAGGATTATGCATCAAATCATTTGTCTTCTAATAACAGGTTATTAAAATCATCATAAACATCACTTGTCAGAATCCTTCTGTAATAATACTTGAAGAATGTGTTTGAACACTACCCAGTAAAAGTATTTTGGATTCTACAGATACTTAGCAGGTGACCAGCCATTTTATAAGCAATTTTAGGTACCCCAAATACCCTGTAAGGTAATGGTAAAGGTAGGAGAATAACCCATAACTCACAGCGTATTGTGCCGAATTGCGTATGGACGTGTCCGTGACTACCTCAGCCGTCGTAAAGAGGCACTTAAAAGTAGCATGTTCGCATCATTCCAAAATGACACGGGCTGAAATGAACCATCATCAAGTTAACCCCCCCATTCTTCCAAAAGATGCAATGGGTTCTTTAAAGTGCACAAGAGCAAGATGTATACACTAGACCTCCATTTTAAGTTCACATCCGAGAAGACTTGGTTCTACCAACCAAACCCCAGGCGAGGAGTGGCTTGAACCAGCCCTGTGTTAAGGCTGTAATTAGCGGCACCCTGTCTTACCGCTTGGCCACTTGACTTGCCTCAAAAAAAGTGCAACAAAATTACTCTGGACATCATAGTACGCCAGCTAGTTCGTATACCGTTGACTTGATTTTAGATCTGTTCGTCTGAGCGCCTCCCCGATCAGCAAATTAGTGAAACTTAAAAATAATTGTTTGTTTCAAACAACACCTTGTTGTGAGTGAGGTTCTAGGACAAAGTTAAAAATAAGATCATCATCAACATCGTCATTACTATCAATAACAATATCATCCTCACCATCATCCTCATGAATTTTCATGATCGTTATGAATATGATCAGACTGATGATTAGACCTAGGCTAGGCTTTGTCTCGTAACATCACTAAGGAGGCTAGGCAATATTCTACAGTAGCTCTGTGTTTTTTTTAATTGAATTTTCAGTTATAGTATCTAGGCCTAGTAATGGTATTAAGTATTTGTAAAGAAATTACTGTAGGCCTAGTGAGGAACAGCCTATGGCCTAGTCTAAAATATTCTTACTCTAGTCTTAGCCTAGACTTCAGTAGTAGCCTAGGCCTACTGTAGGCCGCATTTGTTATCAATCAGGAGTAACAAATTACTAAATCAATTTAATCAAAATTAAAACAAAAATATAATTTTTAATTTGATGATGATAGGTTAGGGTACATAGATAAAATTATTAGATTATCACTCTTTAAAAAAAAAATTTTTTTTTTTAATCGGAACAATAGATTATTCCGCTTTTGTTTTTATCGATGAGGGAGGGACTGTTTATATTTGGCTAGTAATAGTAAATATTGTATAAAAAGTAGTTTAATTTTATAGTTTTTTTAAAGAAAATGTATTTGAAGTCACAAAATTGCATTGTTATTTTTATGCTATTAAAATAATTGCCATGTCAACAAGGACGCGAAGCCCCGCCCACAACGTCGCGAAAACCTTAGACAATGGCAGATAGACTGACCGCGTGGGCGAAGACTTTCTTTGCTATCAACCTTATTTAAGAAAGAGATGCAAATGATCAGTGTTAATCTATTTCATGGAACATGGCGGGGAAATTTTTGTAAAAGCCTCTGTATTTGGCTCCCAAAGGAAGAGGGAAAAGCCGCATTCAGTAAACCTTGTTGTCGGCAAAGGCAAAGTCTTGTAAATCTGGGTATCTATAAATAAGCATAAACATCTAGGTCTAGGCTCACGCATGTTTCGCGTTTAAACCAACTTTCTAAGTAAGGAAATTAAAATGTCTGAGAAAAAGGTTTTGATCATGTGACGCTCGCTGATTAGTCAGTTTATCTGTCAATCAAAATCTCGTCGAATCCCGTCGAGATGTAATTGATGCGGCAAAAATTTTTTTTATTCCCGCATCAATATTTCCCAAATTTTGGATGCGGGCGGGAGTGATAATCTAATATTAATAATATTAATAATTTTTTCTATTTGCCCTTTTATATGAATGAAAAGTTCATCATCCAAAATCCAACCAAAATTAGACAGTGAACAGTTCCAAATGTCTAGATTTGGCCATCATTTTCAACAATGACCAAGCAAAATTGAACACAATCACTTTGGGTGACATTAAATACAATGGAATGACTCGGATATGAGGGTATCTAGGGAGGATACAGTAGTAGTAGTAGCTAGCGGCCTAGCCTACACACGTATCTAAACTTACAACTAATACTAATGCTATATTAAGTAAATGAAAACGTTTTAGTTAATTTGAATTGATGGCTCTCATACTATGATGTATAAACTAGTTGCCAAACATATAAAACCAGAGAATTAACTCTGTTTTCTATACTAAAATCGTTTTCTCAATAGGTCTATGTTAGGGATATCGTCCATAATCATTGGTTGCCTGTGTTGACGTGTTTGTTTGGACCATTCGAGAAAGTACAGATAAACAACACAAATCCTTTTAGAAATGCCCTTCTTACCCAATATAAAACGTTGAAAATTGTAAAAGGCAAAGAATAAATACTCAAGTATTCGTATAAATCGTTTATAGTTCTATAACTTACCAACAAATTACAAAAATAGATATAATTCCTAGGCGTTTCTTCTCTCAAAATACGTTATTTCTCTCTTTTTGATCTCTGCTTACATATCAAGCTCTCTCTATAGAGATCATGTGACGTTAAACTTCGTTGCCAATTGGTTAGAGTGCGAAGGACACAATGGCTTTGTGACGTCATAGACAGGGCACCTCCCGGTTGAAGGATGATGATGACGACGACTATAACCCGGAAGAATGTGATTCTTGCGAATTGTGTCATTCTCCGGTTAAATAAATCTTGGTCATTGTTCTACTGCCCACGATTTTTTTCTTTGTTTATAGCGGATGTCTAGGTCTACATAAATAACAAACAATCAAAACAATAATATCGTTGGAGCGTTTAAAGCCAATCTCCATTTTGAACTTAAACAAAACTTCGAAAATTATATAAACTTAGACCAATTTTGATTATATATTATATCACGGTATATTTTATTCAAATACATTTTTACAAAAAAAAAAAAAAAAATCAGTATATTGCAGAACTAAATCTGAATTACAAAACTGAGTACTAGAATTTACAGAAAAATCACATCAAAACAGGAGCGATAAAAATGTGCAGCAAAATATAGGCCTAATATTGGCGTACTAGAATCTAGATAGGCCTAGTAGTAATAATAAAATAATAATAATAATAATAATAATAATAATAATAATAATAATAATAATAATAATAATAATTTATCATTGTTATTATTATTATTATTATTATTATTATTATTATTATTATTATTATTATTATTATTATTATTATTATTATTATTATTATTATTATTATTGGGCTGGGAAGTTACTGTTACTGAATCTTTTGTTTATACATTATATTATATTATATTATATATTTATGTAGTAGGTCTAATTATTGTAAATTCGAAATCAATTATCAGACGGCAAGTCGCATATGAATACAAACTTTTGTATAATTTTTAAATTAAGTTGCGTTTTGAAGTACAGGTCTACAATCAATTATTATGCTACTTATGGGGCCGCGGTTTTCATGAATCGTTTCATTCACTTATTCATTCAAAAGAGTGAACCAACAAACTTTTCTCATCTATCCATCCATCAATCTATCCATACATTCATTTATCCATCCATCCATATAGGCATATCATTCATTCATTCATTCATTCATTCATTCATTCATTCATTCATTCATTCATTCATTCATCCATTCATTCATTCATTCATTCATTCATTCATTCATTCAATCCTTCAATCATTCATTCATTATTAATTCATTCATTCATTATTCATTCATTACTCATTCGTTCATTCATTCCATTCGTTCGTTCATTCATTCATTTATCCGTTCCCTTTGTTCATGCATTAATTCATTTAACCATTCAATCGGTTGTCCATATGTTCGTTTCATTCGTTCGTTTTATTCATTCATTTATTCATTCAGTCAGTCATTCATTCATTATTCATTCATTTATTCATTCATTCAGTCAGTCGGTCATTCATTCATTATTCATTCATCATTCATTCTACTCGTTCGTTCCCTTTGTTCATGCATTAATTCATTTAATCATGGACCTATTAATAAGTCCATGATTTAATCATTCAGTCGTTTGTCCATTATGTTCGTTTCATTCGTTCATTTCATTCATTCATTCATTCATTCATTTAACCACCCCATCCACACTTATCCATCCATCTATTAAATCTGGGGAGCGGGCTTGGAATACTGTACATTTATCTGGGAAGTCGCTCAAATCCGCTGGGGCCCCAAGGACTCCAACACCTCGCCGGTACTATAATCTCTTCATTAAAGCAGTGCTTTTGTTTGTTTGTTTTTCCAATTATATGCCACATGTCTGAATAAACACAATGCCTCGTTGAAGCTTCGGAAATAGACATTTAGGGGTTGAAAACTTCATCTGTAAAATTTCTATTCAACTTTGTCATTTCCGCGATCTATAGCAGTTATATTGAATAGCGTTAGATGACTATTACTATTATTACTACCATTATTATTGTTATTTTTTTACATTTAAATTGTTATTGTATTTTATTTTTAGCACCAGAAACAAAACACACTGACGATGAGGGCAGCAAATACACACAAAAGTTCACATCAGCAGTTTGCAAAACTTATCATTTCCAAATGAATCGCGCTTCATGAACTACGCTGCCAGCCATTCTAATGCATAATGCAAACATTTCTGGCAACTGCTTAAAAGAATGTCACTTAATGTTCGAACGCTTTAATAAAAAAAAAACCTTAGGCCTAATATTAGGCTTGGTAACTGGCAAGTGACATGGCGCACTTGATAAACGCCCTCTGTTTCCTTTCTCCACGTGTCAGTTACTTTACTTGATTTACATATGGTCAAAAAAACGTAAAATGTTTATAATTCATTAGATGCCGAAATTATAGCATTAGTATTGTACTAATAACACAGATAATGCAGAAATTATCCAACAAAACGCTACACCGGACACAAAAGAACTAAACACCATCAAGACTTGTTATTCAAAGTTTCAGAACTCACAGAATAGTAGCTACTCATCTGAAACAGTTAGTACGGTTTCTTTACTTTTGCGTAAATACGGGTCTCCCTCTAATTAAAGACTTCCTCAAATTAAAGACAACCTCCAATTAAAGACCACTTTTCTGTGGTCCCATATTACAAATGTCTTTCATCTACTGAGGCCTATGTTATTCTAATAGAGACAGCGGATAAAGACCGTAAACCCTCTCCCAAACGTGTCTTAATTGGAGGGAGACCAGCAATCAATTTTAAACTTTGAGGTTCATTCCTTTATTTAACAATGATAAAATATGGCATTGTTATAAATATTTGCAATTTTTCTTTGAAAAATGAGTTCGTGGTAATCTGGTCTAAAAAAAATCGACATAAAACATTTGAATTTATTGAAATGCAAAAAAAAAAACCAAAAACTTTTCAATAATAATTCAATAAAACACATCGAAACAATTCAGTTTCAATGATTTAATGACGTTATTTACCAAAACTGTTAAATGGAAAGCAAGTAGGCCTATGAATCGTATCATTGGCAAGGAATTCTGTAACTGTACAACCCCTTTGATAATGGATGCTTAACATATTCAAAGTTACGTTAGTAAAGTTTGGTGTATCAAAACGGGTTTTTATTTATAAAGTAAGATCAACTAAATGGATCATTAGTAAAGATTTGTGTTTGCTGGATTACATTCGATCAGACTACGAATCAGGCTGTTGAACCGGGTGGCATTAATACTTTCTGAGCCTGGCCAAGCTAAAATGGCCACACCTTCACACCCACCACGAACATTTTCTAAAGTATCCTAATTTGACAGTATTTCTGACGTTCAATTTTAAATACATCAAATGCTTTTAACGACAGTAGGAGAAAATAGCAAATAGGCCTACAAGGAAAGTCCACCTTAGCCCCAATGTTTGGTTCTGATGAAAAAATAAATGATGTAACAATATGCCCAGAAATTGCATTCACAAAATAAAAAAATATTTATTCTAAATTTTGTTCATTTGAGACTATGTCGTTTCCATTTTTAATTAGCTTAAATACGGTAGGTGTTTGTGCATTTTTTTGGCTGGGGTGGGAAAATAGGGAGATATGAGTTAGGCCTACTGTAGGCCTACCAGGCGTGCCAACATCCACCTCAGCCGCACCATGGCATGAGGGTGAGGTAGAAAACAGCAGACTTATAATCCGGGCTTACTATGTTGGGGCTGAGCTGAGATGACAAAATTCAGGGTTGGGGGGGGGGGGTGCAGTCAACACTTAATGAACTGATACAACACTTTTTATTTTTGTGTATTAATTTGACTTTTTGACTTCGTTAAATTTCAAGATCAATAATTCGTTTGCATGTGATAATAATAATTCGTTTGAATGTGAAAAAAAGTAGGTGGGAGGGGTGTAAATGTACGAGGAGTCTCATCATACACTTCAGCATTTAGCACTGACTATTAGATAAGGATGTAGCAACTCTAGATTCCTGAAAACTGCACTCCCAGACTTATAAAAAAAGGGTCTTACTTTGACAGTAAATTAATAAAAACATTTTTTTTAGTTATGAAAAATTTGCAGAATCTTTTAGGAAGTTTAATAAAATTTTTGGAATGTAATGAGCGTTTTTTTGAAAGTGGTAGATTGAATTCTATGCAAACAACAACATAGGTAACCTCTGCAACCCATGCAAAAAGAGTAAACAGTACGAAATATAGTAGCCCTATTTATATAATTATCCGAAGAAAATATTGTAATCAGAAAACAGTTAGTCGAAACATTATGCAGACGGAGATGATGCCACAGCAAAACAACACAAACGTTTATGATTCGCGAAACGTTGTGAACGTGAAACACAAACGTTTCACCAACGTTCACATCGTTATTCAGTCAGAAATTTAGTTATAAATACGATAGATATGATTAAACTAAAATCGTTTTGAACAAACTTCAGCATTATTACCCTAGACCGGGTGGCGGCAGGGGCTAAAACATAATAAATTGTGATATTTTAGTGAAAATTACTGTGTGAACCGTGTCTCCTGGAGAATTGAAATAATATAGAGGGCGTCTGTCAAGTTTCCGAAACACAGAGCACAGAAAAGAAGTTCGATCGCAGAGCTGAGTTAAAGAAAGGCATCTTGGAATACTGAAAATATCTTAAAATATGTCATAGTTTTAGTGAAGATCGTACAGTGATTGGCATCATACTATTCTAATTTGGATTGTGTTACGTCTCATAAAGGAAATTAGAAGAAAATTTATTTTAGTAAGTGCGAGACATGCTGCAAATTCAGGGTATTTACAAAACATGCCAGAGCAGGCCAGGCAGACCGAAAACCACAATATTAATATAAAGACAACAAGCCTGTGTAAACATGTTCAGCTGGCTCTGCTAACAATGCTGATAGGCCCTGCACTGACTGCCTAGCCTAGGCTTATAGCTAGGCCTAGACAATTCTGCTAAATCTTGAATTTCGAATGGTAGATTGAAATGATCTTACATACGTAAATTGCATGATAATAACGTTTTAAGAAGTGAATTGTATTGTATTTCTTTTCTCGAGACTCTCCTCAATCAACGAAGACCATGATCAAGATCTAGGACTAGGCTTAGGTACACTACTGTAGCTTAGCCTAGGCCACATACTCCAGTCCGGGTATTCCATACTCTAGTAGGCATACCTATAGCCTGCTACATATAGTATAGGCCTAGCCCGCCCAGTAGGAGCATTGGTTTAACCTAGGTTACTGAATGTCCATACTTCAACTCAAATTGTCCATAATTGATAGGGCCTTGAATTAATTTATTTAGTAAGAAGTCCTAGGCCTTAATGGGTGGTAGGACTAAATTATATCGTCGTGGCTATTCTACTTCAATTTGCTAAAGGTATGGTAAATGGCATTACATCACCATCACCCAATGAAGAGCCAGAATATGCATAACGTTATCTTTCAATTCCAGACCGGCATTGCAGATCGCCCACAATGTGAGGTGAGCGGTGTGACTAGCGAAATGTACTTGGCACATAATTAGTTAGGCAAAGTATCAGTATTTTCTTATAATACTGTCATCGATAAATAGGCGTAAAGGTTCCACTCAGTAATAAGAGTCATGTCATTTAGCTATGTCAAGGAAGGCATGAATCCTCAGGACGTAGGCCCAGGCCAGCTTGCTTATGCCTTTGGTTATAAGAGAGTCCACATACTACCCAGTCTTTGGTCTAATCTACTTACATGACAACACATGCACTAAAAAACGAAATAACTATAAAATTTAAATGGGCCTGCATCAAAAGCATATTCGATAAATTTGACACTAATAATCATGATTGTGGAAACTCATTCTCTCGATCTGAATTCTGGCCGAATGAACGATGTTTACGATTGGGGGAAGTACCATAACAGCGAGTCTACTTAGTTGGGTAAAATCAAGGAGGTATCGGTTATGCATACAGTACATGTGCATTCAATGTGTGCGAATAGTGTATGTTGGTCGGATTGTAAAGCGTGGTAATTTCGAGTATACTATAACCTAGGCTTCTTGGACTAAAACTTGGGATGAGATTTTGGGGGTTGAGAACGTGACCATGGATGAATTAGTTTATGACTGATATGCCACCCAGATCACTACCCGAGGCCGCCTTGTTTAGGTCCTTCGCCAAGCGAAGAATTTAAGCAAAGCCTAGTGGCATACTGTATACCAAGAGTTTGGTACAGGATTCAGTCCTTGTTTGATAATGGCTATATAGATAAATGACATGATTCTTACTGAGTGGAACCATACACCTATTATCGATGACAGTACTAAGTACAAAGAACAGGTGTTACTCCGGATAAAGAAAGGGAGGCCATGATTCAATGTTTCGACCATTATTGGGTCATCTTTAGCAACGTAGGGTCATATTTATTCCTGAAGATAACCCAATAAAGGTTGAATCGTTGAATCATGGCCTCCTTTCTTTATTCGGAGTAACGTTTGTTCTATGTTATTTAAACGTAATCTGTGCATCTGTTAGTACAGTACAGTTAGTAAGTACAGTATTGTACTTTTTAACATTATCGTTGGCATTTCACTGCTCATCGTCGGGGATCTGCAGTGATGCCGGTCTTGAAAGACGACGTAACGCACATTCTGTCTCTTCATTGGGTGATGGTGACATAATTCCATTTACTACTATATACGTTTATATGAAATTTTTCATTAGTGTTGATCCAGCAAAATAAAAACCAATAGTACTCACACTACGTTTCGCGAACGATCCGTTCGCTTTTTCAAGTAGACTGGTGATGTTATTTCCAGTCTGGTCTGACGTCACCTCGGTGTTGTTGAGGTCGAAGTGCATCGCTGCGTCGTCGACGAGCACCCCCCCCCCTCTTAGTGTTGTGGTTCAATATGATATCATCATAGATATGTGATAGAATGTGTCCTCCTTCATCTCTGTTCATAGTATCTGTTGTTTTTCTAATCCATAAAGATTCTCTGACTTTTCGTTCAATCCATGAGCTTTCTTTCTGTAATATTTTTATGTCCCAATTTGGAATATGATTTAGCTGTGTAGCATGATCGGTGATTGCAGATTTATTTAAAATTTTGGAATCGGACAACCTTGCTGATCTTGTTCGGATTCTTACTATTTGGTTTTTATTTTGCTGGATCAACACTAATGAAAAATTTCATACAAATTATATTTGGATCCAAATGAATTTATTTCAAAATATATACGTTTAGCAAATTGAAGTACAAATACGATTACCGTATCTCTAGCCACGGCGAAATTATATAGTAGATAGCTATCTTTTAATCTTATTCTATACCTAATTGTACCTTTCTTAACAGTGTCAAAGCTGTTTTATGTCCACTTGGCTTTTGCTCCTAATCCTGACATTAATTGCACAGGGATACATCAAAATTTAACTCAAATTTACACGGAAGATCACTAGGAATTTAGACATAGTGTGCGTAGCATCTGCTGCTTAATACATTGATTGCATATTGACCAGTACATAATTTTCTGTATATTCTGCTTAGAAGTCAGCCCTTACTTTTTAAAAAGCGCGGACAAATTTCTAGGCTTAATTTTTTGCGGGGGGGAATATACTTCCCTTGTAGGCCTTATTTTACAGTTTATCATTTTCCTTAAACCTAAATCATATGGATATTAACTTGTACATTTTACTTTAAATGTGATACATTTGTAACTCATTACTATTATGTATATAAAGTAGACACTTGTCTTGGCTATCATCTCTCCTGTAAGTTAAAAAAGTAAATCCGGTTGAAGGAATAATGGGGTCTCTCTCTCCACTCCCTAAGCCTCATAATGTGTATTGTCTTGTTAATGTTTATTGTTAAGGATTGCCACTTAGTAAACTGAGCCTAAAATTATATTTAAATTAAGAGTAGATTTTAGTGAAATTAGCTTTAGATTAGGTGGAAAACTCCAAGGCTGGGTGCTGTCAACCCCCCTCCCACCATAAATACTGCACATCCCAGAAGATGCTTGCCTTCCAATTTCATTCCTTTAATCATTCAACTTTAATAGCATAATATTCATAAATTATTTCAGCCTTTTGCTTTGGCCGTACAACATCAAATACATTCATACTGCAATAAATTTAATAATACAGTGTTAAATATCTAACAAATACTTTAACATTAATTCACATTGGAGCTCCAATGCCCTTTTTTTCAATAAGGAATTTTGAAGTCAGCCTAGGCTGCTGTACATATTCGTACTCATATGTAGTTACTAGTCTTGAAGTCCAGATATCTTGTCGTCCAACTCAAGTACAGATGGCTATGCGCCCAGAGTCTTTGAATATGTCTGATATTAATAGAATAGACTTATGCCAATTTTTTAATTTGTAAACAAACCACATGCAACAGGCCCAGATGGCTGGTGGCTAACATGATATTGTGCAAAAATAAATACCTGCTGTATAGTAGGTCCAATGCACACCTATGATAGATCTGGCAGCCAGGTCTAAAATGTAAGAATTTAGGATTTATTTTCAATATTTTCTGCGGAAAATAACAAATTTTATATTGAGTAAATTTTTCTTTTTAATTCGGGAGGCACAAATTTAATCAGGACCTGTCCCGGGACTCGTCAAAAATCAGGAGTTCCCTGGTTAAATCGGGAGTGTTGACGACTGTAATTTTTAATTATTTAATAAGTAATGTAAAACTTGTTACTGTATACCAACATTTTGTAGTGTATGTAATGGACTTTGATAGGAGAGTTTGCAATTACTCAACACATGGCATGTTCCAGTCTCTGGCACAGCATTTTTAATGATGTTGAAGTAGTTACTGAACATTGGGTCAACAACCCACCACGTAGTGTGGTGTATAACCATAGTCGATCTTCTGTTGTCTCTTTTTGCGCCATCAATTTGTTAATTAAATAGGCTGTTGTTGTCAAAAGTCAGACTTTTCATAAGTATTGTAAAAGCATGCATTATATAATGTGGCCTATTAATAAAAATGCTTTTCCACAGACAAGTGGGTCCCTTAAATTCTTGTTGAAAAAACACTTGAACCAGATGTTGGGCAAGTAGGTTCACTCATGCCTGAATACAAATTTGACATTTTAAAGTTTTTGTTTATGGGAACATTTTAATTCATTCTAATTGATTTAATAAAGGCAAATCAAAATTCAATAAAGGAACATTATTTTAATATAATACATTTTTTTTTATCAGTATATCCATCCAGAGATAGATTGCAAACAAGGGGATGATATTTTTCATGTAATTATAGCAGATTAAGGTGAATTTGGTAACTTGATAACTAGGCTAATCCAGAGATCAACAATTAATCTCTGTCTTGTTTTCCATTTTTAGGATGCTATCTCTGAAAAATTTATAAAAAGTGAATGGCTTTTGTGAGTCACATAGTGATATATACTAATTAGAGATACTGTGCTATGAAAATTGAAATATTTTAATATCTGTAAATTCTCTTATTTTGTCTTTTGAATTTTTGTGATCTCTCAAAATTTGATTCCTCTTGTGGTAAATCTGGTGTACTGTAACTCTGTAGACACAGAAGGTGAAATTAAAGGCTAACTTCTGATGGGAAAAATAATCAACATGGAAAAAAATGACTTGCAGTTCAGTCTCAAATTCAATTCTGGACCCCTGCCACTGTACAGGTATCTGTAACTGGTACTCAGTGGTGGCATCAGCGGGAGGGGGTGTGGGGAGGGGGAGGTTTGTCATACTGTAGATCCAAGACATTATTTTGATTGCCAATCCATAATA